TTACATGCTTTAATGTTCAAAACCTCTTTACACTTCCTCTGGAGGGGATTTTAGCCTTTGCAGACCATTGACCTGCACAAAAAACGCATTCATTTAGCCCTTAACACGGCAAATCAGCTGTAAGACGATGGTGGACCCTTGAAAAAAGACAATTTCACAGTTACATGAGTACATTATTTATTGATTACAGCCTCTTTGAGGTGTTTGCTTGATTAGAAAACGATGAAACGCAAAGAAAAGACAAACGTATGAACAAAGTCAAATATTATACAGCAAACGCATTGTAAGTCAGGACATGATTGTTATATATAAAAAACAAACAGCTGTGTGTCTGTGCTCTCTCCTCACTCCTCTCATACAAAATAAAGCTGCAAACATCCAAATCGTCTTCCTCTTCAAATGTACATGATTTCTTTCTTCTGATCAGATCCAACATGAGGATAATGGTACAAATTAAAGGGATCCGTGAGTAGTGTTTCCAGGTCGTAACGTCATTATTCTATGATGAGTATTTGAATATTGTACCAGTCAGTTTTGAATCTCTAATGGTCCAGCATGAACTGTGTTTCAATGCAACTCTTCCTGGTATCCAGAGATCATGCGTTCAGGGTCCTGTGTACGATGTGGGGACAGATGGCGCCCCCTGGTGGTCACTATGCACTCTGCACGGCACTCTGTGGATTTGAGGACTCTGAGAAAACAATGAAGACTCAATTAAACACTTAAGGAGCTGAAATGATCTCATCACAGTAGTCTTTGTATATTTGTGTCCTAGCATTACTATCCTTGTGGGGACCTAAATCTGTTAACACAGTCACGTGTGGGGACTCGCCTCCCTTATGGGGACGTATGAGGGGAATCATTAATTTTAGGGTGAAGACTTGGGTAGGTTTAGGATAAGTCTCCAGGTAATGCATGTAAGTCAATGTAATGTCCCCTGAAGTGATGTATACATGGTTGGTATGTGTGTGTGTGTGACATATGTTGCCACACCCTAAAACATGTTTTATTTTGTTTTTATTGTTATTACTGGCTGCTAATTTATTTACTTTAATAGGAACTACTATAGACAATCATTTGCACTAGTGTACTTATTTTTACTGTAACATATTCATCTTCATCCGTTTAGAAGTGACTGTTATTTTTGTATATATTGACTGCTGCCTTTATATTTTTATTTTGTATTGATGCCTCTTGATGTGGAGATTTATATATATTTGTCTATGTTTGATTATGTAGGTATTTTTAGATATGTTAACTTGTATTCCTCTGGATTGCGAGAAACAACATTTAGATCCAAGATTGACAATAAAGTTGACTTTTTTTTACTTTGAATTAGAATGAATCATTGTTCGAGTACTTTATTTATCTTGGGGGTTTTGTGACGGTTGCTCCATTTATTTAAGAATAAAATATAAAGTTAAATCAAGTTTAATGAAAATATGCATCTAAACAAGAAAAGTTAAAAAACAATTTGCAATAAAATATAAAAATACCAATATGTATATTAAAATTAAACTAAGAAAAAATAAATAATAGTGGATAAGAAAAATATATATTATTAGTAAAACATCCACCGATGCCTGTTTATTTTACATTGTCCTTTTGCTGTTAGCATTGTTCCCTGCTGTAGGACAATTACATGTTATAACTAGAAAATGCATTTCCTGCTGGAAATGCGTGCGAATGCTGTAAACTGTGAACATTTGTTGCTGAATTTAGCTGAGAATGCAGAAAAAGCTGAATATGTTATTAGCCTAATGGAAGCTGCTTTTAGCTACAGAGACCAAGTCAGTGTGTTGCTGAACTTAGCGGAGAAATGCAGAAAAGTGAAATGATTTGAATCAAAACTGTTACAGCTCAAATGCATCGCAATGACTTTGTTGGAAACTTGAAAGTGAAATGTTAAACTGGAAGAGGAGGAAAATAGTGAAGAAGCTTAATATTTAAAAGAAAATGTTTAAAAAAGGTATAAACAACAACACGTATAGCCTCAATGTCCTGAAATAGCTGAATAATTTAATAGTTGAATGGTTTCTGCAGCTGGAAATAGGCTGAAGGAGTTAGATATTAAATGTAAGTAGTAGTGAATGAATGTGTATTAAGATGAGAAAAGAAAGTAAAACGCTTTGAAAAGCAGCAGAATATTTTAACTGCAAACGTTTGCACTAAAACCATACGTCATCAATAATGTATAAAATGTGTGGAACGTGTTGAAGTCAGTATGAAGTCTCCATCAGACAGAAAACAATAGGCTGAGACAGTCTTTAAACTAAAGTCTGTGTGTTTGTGTTTGAGGTGACGACGTTATCAAACACCTGTGTGTGAGCCCAGAGATCAAAGGTTACCATGGTGACGACGTTATCAAACACCTGTGTGCAGAGATCAAAGGTTACCATGGTGACGACGTTATCAAACACCTGTGTGCAGAGATCAAAGGTTACCATGGTGACGACGTTATCAAACACCTGTGTGTGAGCCCAGAGATCAAAGGTTTCCATGGAGATGTGCAGTGATCTGTGAGAGGAGAGCCTTTCCATTGTTTTGAATGAGAGATAAACCTCTTACATTTCTAACTATAGTTTACAAACGGAAGCTGCTTTCGGTAAAATGTCAACGCGTGGAGGATGTCAGGACCGCGAGGAGCGTCAGTCTGCTTTTTGTGTACTTTTGGGTCAATAATGTGGCATTTTTGGCAGATTAACTAAAAGGTGTGCAGCTGCTGCTCTGAGGAAAGATCAGGCTGAATTTACAATGGGCCTTAATGGAGACATGTTAAAAGCTTTTGTCACGTCATGCCCTCAAGAGGCATTTTGTTTGAACAGCATTCACACTAATAATAAATTGTATTTCTATAGCTCTTTTCATAGACTCAAAGCTGCTTTACAATAAGGGGAGGGTTAGGATGGGGGGAGTACAAAGAAAACATGGACAAACTAAGACGATCAATGGGCATGGATTGATGGGGGGGGGTGCTATGGTTTAATACTAGTTGAGTGTAACATTTTGATATGTGTTTTTATATGTCTCAAGTTATTGTGCTTGTTATCTTGTTTTTAATTATTGTTTTATTATTTTACTCCTATTGTGTTATTTCATATTTGCTACAACAGAGGTTGTTTTAAATGTGCTATATAAATAAAGAAATAAAGATTGAGATTGATAAATAGAGAAGAGATGTGATTTGAGGCGGGACTGAAAGAGTGTGAGGGACCCGGAGTCACGGAGATCTTGGGGGAGGGAATTCCAGAGCAAGCTCAGTTTTGCAATGTCTCACGATCATGGTTCAGGTATCCTAAATTCATATTGTTTTTAAGTAAACAAGTCATACACATTGGTAAGGTCATGAACTTTGACCTTAATTTAAAAACAGCAGTATGTGCTTGGTAACAAAATACGCCCAATTTCTGTGTCCGTCCATGACGTCCTTGGTCCCAAAATACTTTTTCCCATTGACTTACATTGGTAAAGAGACGTCTGTTTATCTGCAGATCTTTTTTTTCTTCTTAACTAAATCAACTAGCCAGTTTGAACACTTGTATAGCCCTTCTTTAAATCACTAGGGTCTACAAGTTGTAAAATGTTCTAAAAAGCTGAATCCATTCGACTGAGACGAGATTGGCCTTGAAGCTGCAGATTGGAGGCGGGGCTTAAGTAAAACGCAGGTGTTATGCCGTGCACCTCGCGCGCACAGTGTAAAGCAAAACCTCCCAGACATGTGTTGATCTGTACGGCAAAGTACGGTTTGGAAACTATATCATTTCCTTTTGGAGGGCATGCATAACACCAGAGCCTCGCTGCGGGGAAACGTTGGCGCTGTTCCGAGTTTGTTCTAATCTGTCAAAATGACAGACTGCTTTCAGATTTTTCCGTCATTGTTTGATAAATAAAATATTCGGTTAACGCGACAAATGCTGTCCCAGCAACATCAGTACCAAGCGAGAGTGTTTTTTCCAGAGCAGGGGATATTGTAAATGCCCAAACATCCCAGCTTATAAATACCTGGAAATGTGGACATTCTCATATTCCTAAAAACCTGTCTGATGATGCCGAGTGAGTGACCTAGTGAGTTTGAGTTGAGTTACTTGAAAAACTAAAGTGAAACTTGATTTATTTGATTGCAGGGTGTGATTATTAAATGTCCTTGTTTATTTGTGAGATGCAGTGGCACAAAGAAAATGCCTACTGGTTGTTTGGTCAATATCGCGATAAATACCGTACCGTGGACTTGTTATCGCGATATTATCGTACCGTGAGTTTTTGGTATCGTTACATCCCTACAAACTACTGTATCAAGTTCTCTTCATACACCCATGGAGCAGTTACAAAAATAACATACTTCCTCGAGTGACATGTGAGCATTTCTGTTAGCGAGACAATATTAAAACCGTCCATACCGTTATCTTTAGATCTGACTATAATAGAAAACAGACGTTCAGAGTTTAAGGAGTGAACTTCTGTTTAGTTTTTCGCTCCCCCTCTGCACGGCCCACAAAGCCATCTAAGGATATTGGTTAATATTCTGACCAATTGTGTTCTTACAGGGTGTGAACGAACATGATGACTGTGATGCTTATCTGCTCATCATCAGAGGGTAACACCTCCAGAGCTGTGCTGCTGCTGTTGCCCACATTCTCACAGAAACACTTCCCCATCAGTTCTCAGGAAATAACACTGAGCCACTTTGAGGAAGCGACTGATTCTCAAGCCACTAAAACATTAGTAATTTCCCCACTATGACCTTATTGCACCATGGGCGTCAAGAGCTGGTGGGCGGAGTTTGAGTCACGTGAGCATCAATGTGCTCGGTCACCATCACTGGTTTTTAATGCAATGCTGTATTTTAGCACCATATTTGCACACATGTTTCTGCAACTAAACTTCCTCAAAAGAAAAGTCCTCTTGTATTTTTAGGACATCACGAATGACATGCAGAAAAACATTGAATTGATGATACTAAAACCTATTTTCTTCTTATCAGGATGTATCAGTGTGTCTGAAGGTTTCATACAGCAAAGTTAGTCAGAAGGCAAGTTGCACACATGTTAATATTTTCTGTGCATTTTGTATTCACTTTGCTCCTTGTGAACTCTTCAATTTCCCATTGCATTGAGAATTACTTCTTACTTTGCAAATACTATCAAATACAAATACCACTAAAAGGATTCAAGTCACAAAAAGGAAGTGACATTTGACTTAAAACAGGAAGTACATCTTTCTCTCTTCGACAGAGTCATTAGTTCAGAGACGTCAGTTGAGGGCGTGAGAGCGAGAGACGCAGAGACACGATGGTTGAATTCAGACGGATTAATACGACTTTAGTGGTGATACTGCTGCTTCAGTTTACAGGTAAGGATGAAAAACACATACATGACCTAAAGAAACTTTACTTAAAGTATTTCAATAACTAAAACTGATTTGAGTGAAGGGCCAAGTTTGCTGCTTGTTTTGAACAAAGTGTAATGACTGAATTCTTGGAGAAGGGACATTTGATACTGTTAGTTATATGTATTATCATCCTATCACATGACTATAAAGAAACGGTTTTCTTGTGTTTTCTTTCTCTTATCTTCAACAGCAGTGACCGGACAGAATCCCCTCTCCCTCACCGTCGGAGCTGGACATAATCTCACTTTGCCTTGTGAACGTGTGATAAAACCTCAGGACAAATGTGACAGTACTACCTGGGTCCACAGTCGTGATGGGAGAACAGCAGAAGAGCTGATTATTCATGGGAAGATAAACACAAATGGGATTTCCAAAGCTAAAGCAGACAGACTGAATTTGACAGAAGAATGTTCTCTGGTTATAAAGAATATCACACTTGAGGATGTTGGTCTTTACTCCTGCAGACAGTTTCCAAAATCAGGAGGAAAACAACAAGGTGCAGACTTTCAGGTTCTTCTGTCTGTTATTATCAGTGAGTATAAACATCATAATGTTTCCTCTCATACTGTCAATACTCAGAAACATTACAATAATCATGATTACAGTGATAAAGTTAATTTAACTCTTGTTGTCTTTCTCTCACATTATCTCTATTTTCAGTGGCTCAGGAAAAACACAATGATACGATCCTCTTGTTCTGCTCTGTGTTGACATACAAAGAGTGTAAACACACAGTGAAGTGGGCGTACGAGGGTAATCAGGATGACGTGGAGATAACACCAGCTGCCTGTTCATCCAGGGTGATATTTGCTTCTCATCTTGATCAAAAGCTGCTGAAGTGTAACGTGAGAGTTATTAAGACTGGAGAAACTCTGCTGTGTGATGCTGGACCCCAGTCCTCGTGTCAGAAAACGGGTACATTTGATTTGATTACATTATTATGTCTCATTAAGTCTCGCCAGATGTTAAACTTAAAGTTGTTTGTATATCTTGTGTTGTGTTTTGTGATTTCATTGCATCCTCACCAAAAGGAAGCACACCAGCAGGGAGAAATGATCCCCCAGGACCAGGTAGTGACTAACATCTCTCTCTGACTCCTACATTATAAATGTCAGACCAAATAAATATTAAGAAAACATGTGAATTCTTTGAGGCGCTGGATTTCAAATGGTCTCGAAGCTGCAGCCGAAATATTTTAAATGATTTTTCTCTCAGTTCCAGATTGGTTGAGGTTCATCATCGTGTCTGTCGGTTTAGCATCGCTCATAATAATTGTGGTGACGGTCACGATATGGACGAGAGCTAAAGGTGAGAACATTCACTGAAGTCATTTTATTAAATTAATATTAGATGAAGCCGGATTGAGACTTGAAACTGAAGTTGACTCTTTCTTGTCTTTTCAGGGAACAGAGCACAGACGGATGATAATGCTGTGAGTTTCTGAATAATCAAACGCTCGTGTTATTAGTACTTCAGTCTTTACAATAAGAATGAAACAGTACTAATTGTATTGTTTATTATGTTAGTGATTGCTGCAAAAGAGGTGATTTACTTCTTCCATTTGATATCAGCTTCTAAAGTGTGTGGTGTTTATTTGTGCAGGTGCATAATGATGAAGATGAAGGTGTAGTGACCTATGAAAACGTTGGAGAACCTTCTGCTTCCATCAGACTCCACTGATCAACAAGTTCAACATCAAAACAAACTCGTAAAGAAACTAGTAACATAATATTAGGTCGTTTCCTATTTGTTGTCAAAAGTAAGTCTAAATTGGCTTCAACTTTAAAAACAAACAATTACGTTTTTTTCAAACTTTATTGACTTTTCTTTCTCTGGGTTTAAATGAACTTTAAGTCTCTTAACAATAATTGATGGTTAAATAATCTACTAAAGAAAATTGCCAAAAACTTGACATAATCGAGAGTAGTTCCTTAAATGTTGAAAACCGTCAGTTTAAAGGTCCCATGTCGTGCTTTGGTTCTCACCCGTCCCCTTGAAGGTGAAGGTTGTTCTGCATGTGAACGGTCTGCAGAGTCACAAACCCTCAAAGTGCACCCTGTAGCGAGTAACACTCTAACACAGAGAAGACCTGTCTGTGCTGCCCCAGAACGCCTCGGTGGAGATCTCTCCTTTTCCATTGTCACACACACACACACACACACACACACACACACACACACACACACACACACACACACACACACACACACACACACACACACACACACACACACACACACACACACAACACACACACACACACACACACACACACACACACACACACACACACACACACACACACACACACACACACACACACACACACACACACACACACACACACACACACACACACACACACACACACACACACACACACACACACACACACACACACACACACACACACACACACACAAAAATTAATGTTATGTTAAATCTCTCTTAAAATAATTGCTTTTCATTTATTGCATTGCTATAAACATGTTTGTTATTAGATCAATTTGTTTTTGTACATTTTATTGTTAGGATTCGAAGGAGCTTTCAGCCTAAACTAATTCTATATTATAACTGAGAATGATATAATCTGTAAATAAAAGCGCCTAATACTCACTCATGCAGTGTGGAAGGTTATTTCTTTATTGCATTAGATATGATTTCTTAAATTCTGCAAACTGAATTATTCAGGATGCAGAATTGAACACAGCTCTTTGTTGATGTTACTGTTGTTACTGTCCAACACCAAACCGGACTTTAGTTATTTCTGTGTAACATTTCCGACACATTCCCAGTTTGCTTCAAATCAGGTTAAAGATGGAGAATATTTCAATGGTACCAAAAGGATGCACGGACAAAGGATGTGGAGTTCCCCAAAGGTCGTTTCCTGAAACTCTTGTTTTCAAACTGTACATGTACTTTGTATTTAGACTCTTATTGCACTATTTCTATTTTTGTATTTACTTGCACTATTTTTTCAGTTTTTCTGTTTTATTGTGTTGCACTGTTGGAAGAGGCTGTGACCTAATATTTTCGTCGTCATGACTACTGTAGCTATGTACATATGACTAATAAAAGCCTTGAACCTTGAACATGCTTCCAAGAGCTCAGTTTTGTAATGTCTCTCACTGTCATTATTCACTTGTCCTAAATTCTTCTTTTTTAAAGTAAACAAGTCGTAAACATGGTAAGGTCATGAACTTTGACCTTAAATTAAAACAGCAGTATGTGCTTAGTAACAAAATAAGCCTTTGTACTGTTTCTGATTTCATGTAAAGGGTCTTTGAGCTTTAAGAAAAATTATTATTAAAGCCACTAGTGACAATTAAAAAAACAGGTTAGTTTGAAAAGATTAATAATATCTATTCCATAAGTTTTAATACGACTACACTCTAAGAAAAGAGACGTTCAGAGTTTAAAAGAGGATATGCTCACAAAGCCAAACACAGAATATTCGATATTGTGATTGATTGTGTGCTTGTCTACAACATACCACTACACCCAAGCTCCAAATATGTATACAGTTGTCTTTATACACCCATGGAGCATAGTTACAAAAATAGCATACTGACATGTGAGCATTTCTGTTAGCGAGACAATATTAAAACCGTCCATACCGTTATCTTTAGATCTGACTATAATAGAAAACAGACGTTCAGAGTTTCAAGGAGTGAACTTCTGTTTAGTTTTTCGCTCCCCCTCTGCACTGCCCACAAAGCCATCTAAGGATATTGTTAATATTCTGACCAATTGTGTTCTTACAGGGTGTGAACGAACATGATGACTGTGATGCTTGTCTGCTCATCATCAGAGGGTAACACCTCCAGAGCTGTGCTGCTGCTGTTGCCCACATTCTCACAGAAACACTTCCCCATCAGTTCTCAGGAAATAACACTGAGCCACTTTGAGGAAGCTACTGATTCTCAAGCCACTAAAACATTAGTAATTTCCCCACTATGACCTTATTGCACCATGGGCGTCAAGAGCTGGTGGGCGGGGAGTTTGAGTCACGTGAGCATCAATGTGCTCGGTCACCATCACTGGTTTTTAATGCAATGCTGTATTTTAGCACCATATTTACACACATGTTTCTGCAACTAAACTTCCTCAAAAGTAATAGTTGAATGGTTTATAACTGAAAGTAGGCTGAAGAAGTTAGATATTAAATGTAAGTAGTAGTGAATTAATGTGTATTAAGAGAAAGAAAGTAAATCGCTTTGAAAAGCAGCAGAATATTTTAACTGCAAACGTTTGCACTAAAACCATACGTCATCAATAATGTATAAAATGTGTGGAACGTGTTGAAGTCAGTATGAAGTCTCCATCAGACAGAAAACAATAGGCTGAGACAGTCTTTAAACTCCAGTCTGTTCGTTTGTGTTTGAGGTGACGACGTTATCAAACACCTGTGTGTGAGCCCAGAGATCAAAGGTTACCATGGTGACGACGTTATCAAACACCTGTGTATGAGCCCAGAGATCAAAGGTTACCATGGTGACGATGTTATCAAACACCTGTGTGTGAGCCCAGAGATCAAAGGTTACCATGGTGACGACGTTATCAAACACCTGTGTATGAGCCCAGAGATCAAAGGTTACCATGTTGACGATGATCAACAGAGATCAAAG